GAAATATGCTTCTGAGATCCCCGGTTTCAGTTAAAAGTAATGCGTGTCTATTGTGTCACAAATTGGGCACACTAACCATGTTTAAATTGTCCTCATAAATACTGTATCTTTTTCAGCGTGGTAAAGTAAAAATGAAAATAAAAATTCACTCGTGAGGTTCAACTGTTCCATCGTTTTTTTTTTCGTATTTCTCACTAAATAAAACCATTATTACTTAATAAGTCCCTCTAAAAATGAAGTGGGAAACGTACTATTTTCAAGAAGGGGGTTAACCTTGGAAAGTTATGCCTTTAAAATAAATTTGGATCAAAAACTTGTTGTTTTAATCACCACAAAATGAGAAGTATTCTGTGGAGGGAAATAAAAAGTATTCAAGTTCATGCAGTTGTAAAAATGAACAGCTGTAATGCGTGAATGCCCATGTTTTGGAAATACAGTGAGACCCCAAGATGCAGACATAATTGGTGCATCAAGAGTGTCCCTAAGTTGAGTCTAATTTTCCCTTAGACTTACATTATAAAATTTTCAATTAGTGTTTTATTTTCAAAATACTCACCATAATTTTATGAAAAGAAAAATGCTCTCCCAATTTAAACTGATTCAATCAATATATTTCAACAGGATATGTACATTTGGGGAATTGAATACTGATACATCAGTACAGTACAGTACATAGAAATTTTGGCATTATCTGTAAAAATAACATACAAATCAGTCAGTCAGTTTTCCCTGTCGCTCGGTTGCGTGGCGCTAAATTCTGACAGCAACGCCAAAAAAAAATCCGGGGATCTCGGAGCTACTCACTCACAGCAAGCGTGTCTTCCATCCGATGTTTTCGTTGTTTGCTTTTTTGTTTTACAGAAATTGTAAATTTAATAATTAAGGGGGAAAGTTGGTGTGCGTATAGCAACGAAACCGAAGAAGAAAGCCTTGTATCCCAATAAGTTCTTGCCCCCTCACAAAACTCCTGACCGAGAAAAAAAAAATAGGACGAAGAGAAAAAGAACAAAATGGGAGATGTCGAACATTTTACCAAAAGAAATACCGAGGGCAGAGAAGGAGAAAAAAAGAATGAAAGAAGGAAATGGAAAACAAAACGTGAGACGATTTTGAAAAAAGGAAAGAAAAAAATATGTTCGCCGGCGGAAAAAAAACCATCGGGGTTAACCAAAGAAAAAAGAGAGAGAGAGAAAGCCAGGAAAAAATTGAATGAAGGCAGATTGAGTTTGAAAAAGAAAAAAATTAGGGCGAAGGATGAACAAGTGGCGCCCCCCTCTGGCCGGCACGCGACTCAATTTTTATACCGAAAAAGCATAAATTTTGTGAGGGAAAAAACGCGGTTGGGGGCGTGCGTGTGTGTGTGTGTGTGTATGTATGTATGCATGTATGTATGTATGTGTGTGTGTGTGTGTGCAAAGAAGAAAAAAGGGGATTCTTTTTGTTGTTTTTAGTCGTGCGGGAACCAAGCACCGGCGAGCAAAAAATAATATTTAAACAAAAAAAAAAAAGACGGAGAAAATTTTGCGCTAGAGATCCGGGGGCTGTGCGGTGGCGACTTGCTTCGTTTTCCTCGATTCCAGTTCACTTCTTCATTTTCTCTTCTTTTCTTCTTTTCTTTGTGTGTGTGCTTGTCTCTTTTCTTCAGGATAGAAGAACTCTGTGAAAAAAATGTTCGTTCACGGCTCTGTTCTTTGAGGAGAAAAAGATGTCGGCGAAACTTGTTGCGGTTTGTTACGGTTCGTCGAGTGTGGCTAAGTTTTTACCCTCGGGGCTCGTTCGCCATCGGAACGAAATCCGAATCCGATCGACGACGTCGTTGCAGCAGAAAGCAGTTCGTTTTTTTTTCCTGCAACAAAACTCTTCCCTCCTATTATAAAAAAAAAAGAATTATTGAATCAAGCTGCCAATTGGAAAGGATTTTTCGCGATTGGAGGAAACAATTTATTCGATTTTCTCAAATTGATGGCACGGTCGAATCCAATTTTTGCTGTTGCTTCCGTGCGTCGGTTTCCTAATAAGGAGGAATTTCACTGAAGTGATCGATTGAGCTTCGAATATTGACATCACGGGAATTACCAAAAAATGTCAATGAAAAAATCCTTCTACTGTACTAAGGTGAATTTTCATTTTGAGTACTTATATTTGAAAAGAAATTCCTTGAATGAAGCGGAGAAAAAAACCGGACTCAGATGATCGAATCGGTCAACTGTCGTAGATTTTTCGCCCAATTTTCAAAATATATCTCCCACGCTACTTATTTAATTTACGTAGCCTTGAATAAATCGGAACTTTCCCTTTTTCTCGTTTTACAAAATGCTAAAAAATCGGATTCAGCCAAAATAAAATGAATAAAAAACCTTTTGAAAGTTCCTTTTCAACTATGACTTCGTTTGAAAATCTCTATTTTGATTGATCAGCTATTATTTCTTCTGTAAATCATATTCTGATACCACCATTAGTAAATTTCTTTTGTAACAAAAAATCAAACAAAGAATCGTCGCAAAAATGAAAATACTGTAAATAATAATCTTATGAATAAAGAAACAATTTAATAATGCTGTTGGGTCTGGAAGAATTGTTGCAGGAAAAAATGAGATTAGTTTTCCAAAATTGCTGCTTACCAAGAAAAAAAAATTTGTTTCGCGAAGAAGAAAAAAGAAAGTTGATTGAGAGAAAAAAAAAGGGTTTTTTATGTTGCCTATAGAAATACGTCGCTGCTTTTCCGTCCGGAATTCCTATAGGATTACGACATGCCAAAAGATAAGAAAGAAGAAAAAAAATGAGGTGTTTCTTTTTATTTGTGTGTGGACACGAGCACGTTTTCTCTCTCTCTGCGACAGAACTGCTTAAATTGTGGTGGGGGGGGGGGAAGGGAAGAGAATTCAAGATGATAATCTTGTGAGGGTGGGTTGGAATAATGAAAAATGCGGAGAGAAATTTTGCTTTTCGACATTTTTTTGTTTTTTGTTTTTTCGTTGTCGCTTATGGAAATTAGGGGCGGCGGCGTGATCTCCGCCCTCGCCGCCGCCTTCCTTGGGTTCCGCCCCCCGCCCTGTTTTTTTTTTTTTCGACTTACCGCCGGTGTTGTGATCGCGGTTTTACTGGCGTCTTTGTGTCGCTTCTTGGGCTTCGAGGCCATGTAAGGTGGTACTCCGAGATTGTTTTACGGTTTTGTTTTTTTTTTTCGAAGGCAGGGTTCTTCAGGAGGCGAAGGTGGGCGAGGAGGGAGAGAGAGAGAGAGAGAAAAGAAAAGACGTTATTGACGAAGGCAATGGATTCGAAGGTCAAATAAACAACGCGTTTGTCTCAAAAGCTTTATTCTTCATCTCATAGACAGCCCTCTCTTGTCAGAATGCATTTTTCTGACACAAGTGAGTGGGCGGTGTGTGGGAGGTGGTGTTTAGCACTTTTCAGGTGGTTTGGGTGGAACCACCTGATGGATTCCATCTTCCATTAATTGTCAGTGCCAGCAATTTTTTTTTCAGGCTAGCATGCTTCATTTTGATCAATGATCAAAAAAATGGCACCATCTCAGATTTGCATAAGCACTGAAAATGTTGGATAAGCCAGGGAGGAAAATTAGGTAAGTCTCACTGACCCCTCCAAGTTAATCCTATGGCTGAAGGTTGAAAAAACCCAGCCTTAGATGAGCTTTTTTTGTTCCCCTCCCCAAAATTTTTGTGCAAATGGAAAAATACAGTTGAATCTGGACAAGTTGAACCTCCACAAGTTGAATACTTCCTTAGGTCAAATTTTTTAAAGTCCCCATTTGAATGCTGTCAAAAACAATCCATTAAAACCCTCCCTATCGTAAAGTATTTTTCTCTCAAACCTCTGAAATTCAAATGTTCTGAGGCCTTTTGCGTATTATTTCCTTGAAATATGAAAGAGAAAATCAATACAACAAATTATTTGATGCATCTTGATAAAAGGAAGTGAAATACTAATTGAGCAAATGAACCTCGGCCTCCAAGTTCAGCAAGCTCATGAAGAAGAAAGTTTATGCCCAGCATATCCTCATTTAAAATTTCCCACAACTTTTTTTTCTTACTTTTCCTTGCAACAAAAGTGTTTGTTTCTTTAAATGGAAACCTCCAAAAATCAAAACCTTCTCAAGTCCATTTTTTCCCTGATCCCTAGAAATTCAACTTAGAAAGCTTTGACTGTAAATGGACATTTCCCAACTTGAATTAAATATGCCTGTGTAATATTTTTTTTCTTCTGAAAATGTACTGTATAGTGAGAAATTCCTGAAAGTATACCCTGGCACTGCTGCCAATGGGTTCAGAAGGGGGTAAACTAACTGCATCATCAAATAGCTGCATGGATTAAGGTTTGGTATGAATTAATGGAACACTGATATTTCTGTCACAGAACTTGGGGTTTTATTTATAAATAAATGAAGCACTAAATTTATTCAAATGCCAACACATCCTCAAGTTAGGCACACAGACAGGTTTTTAGTGTAAAACTTGTATTCAATTTTATCTCTGAAAACAACATGCCCTGCACTTTTATAGTGATTCTAAAACTGCAATCTTTTGAAAAAGAACACCCATATTTGAATTTAGACATGAATTGAACCTAAATTCAACAAATTTTCAACTGTTCCCATAATAACAAGTTTGTCTGATGTAATTGGTCCAACATGTATTGTCAGAATCATATATAAAGGATCATAGTTGATCCGTAAAAGGGGTTTTATCTCATATAGACCCTCTGTTTGAGGTGTGTTTTGGTGCTGTAGACACTTGGCTTCATTGATTTGATTAACTGGAATAGGCTACGTTCATTTCCTGGTTTCATGCCCCATTAATTTCATTTTCTTGATAATCTGATCAATACTGAAAATATTTTAGGTCACAGATTGCCTCAGCTTTAATTAATAATGGGTAGGTATGCTGATTTTCAGCCAAGGAGGAAACTGAAGCTTGGCAATGTTAGCTGAGACATTCCTGATGAGGATTCCAGCTGAAAAGCCAATATAATGAAAGCTATTGGGATTTAATCTGCATGTTGTCAGTTTCGCGTGACTTTCACATAGTTTTTCGCCTTTAAAAAAAAAGAGGAAACACTGCACCTTTTAATTTTTTAGACTGAGGGGCCGGAGTGCCTCTTCCTTTTATAGTTCCGGAGAAAATTTCTTCCTTTCCCCTTACAAACCTTCAAATGACCACCTCAACACGTGTTTTTGCAAGGTTACTCCAGGTAGTTTTTAGTCGGCGCGAAAACCCCTACGAGAAAATTCCACGCATACCCAGATTGTTTCTACGGTACTTGGTGTTTTCGGTGTGTCATTAATCTCCTATCAAATTATGGAGACGTTGTTGTCGAGGCCTTGACAGGGCTCCACACACGGCGTTTCGGGGTGGACTAAGAATAAACAGACGGGAAAATAGTTGAAAGAAAAAACATTTGAAAAAAAAAGCTGTCTCGCGAAGGGGAAGAAGTGTATAGGACATGCTGTCGCTGCTCCTCAGCGTCGCAGCATTGATTACTTTGGTGTGTTTCCGAGTGTCCACGTTGTACAAGCGCATCTGCGCTCGCGACAGCCTGCTGAGGAGCAACAGTCGTCGTCGTCGTTGTTGTCGACACCCCGAGAAACGCGTGTCGATGCGAGTCATGGAGCAGCCGGTGAAACCGTGTGCGAGCAGCAACACGTCGACAGCGGACAACACTGAGCAGACTGCTGGTGGCGCCGAAGCAGTTGAGCGTGTCCCGAAGCAGCGCGGCTCAGAACAGCGGGTGACTTTTAACCCTTCTGCGCCAAAGTTGGCCCTTTGCAGATTTTGGTTGCACTGAAGAGTGGAACTTTAAAAAAACCTCAACAGTGTGTGCAGGGCAAAGTTGGGAAAAATCCTGGCATTTTTTTTTATTTATTTTCCACAGAAAAATTTCACCTGAAAATGAAAACTTCAAGGCTCCCTTTTTTCCCCTGGCCTTGTGTTGTTTCCCCATTCAAAGATTAAATTAAGCTTGAAAGCCATGAGCCCAGGTTAGAGGTCAATACAAAAAAGTCTGACTCAGGACTTTCCCGGCATTTCTTTATCCCCAGATAAAATCCAACTTTGCCATCCCTCGCCTGGCAGAGGTGGCATAACCTTGTGCAAAAATGTTATGCAGGCCCATTGGGAAATAGTCCAACTTTGACCTGGGATGGAAAGGAGGCTGCTGCTGTCCAAGGGTTAATTGACATTTTTAACCATTGGGCAGCAAAGTTGGACTATTTTTGCAAAACCTTTTTGCACCTCAGAGAGGTGAAGAGACAAAATTACAACAGGGGGTTGAGGGTGAAGTTGGGAAAATCCAAATGTTTTTTTTTTCCTGGGTGCAGAAAATTTTTGGAGGAAAATGAAAAAATGCTCAGTTAAACAAGAGGCTTTTCTCCAAATAATCCCAATTTTGCCTCAGCCCACCTGGAAGGGTTTTCCTGACCTTTGAAAAACTGAAAATGCAGGAGGATACAAAAATAATCCAACTATGTCCCACAAAAGGAAAGAACCCTCCACCACGCAAGGGTTGAATAAATAAATGGAAGATATAGAGGCAGTATGAATTTAAAGAAAACTTAATTATCTTTAACCCTTGGACGGTGGAGGGTTCTTTCCCATTGCCGGCCAAAGTGGGATTATTTTTGTATGCTGGGGTGTTTTAATATTTCTGAAAATCAGAAAAGCCCTTCCAGGTGGGCTGAGGCAAAGTTGGGATTAATCTGAGAAAAGCGTGTTGCTTAACATAGAAATTTGTTATTTTCCAGGAAAAATGTTTCTGTTCAAAAAGAAAAAAAAAACATTGGGATTTTTCCCAACTTTGTCCTCAAATCCCTGTTGTCCTTTTTTCTTTTCTTCCCGGAGGTGCAACAAAATTTTGAAAAAATAGTCCAACTTTGCCACCCAAGGGTTAAGAGTAAAAAACAATGTTCCATTATATGTGACCAATAATTTGGTAACCTCTTATTTTCAAGGATATGCTGAGGGGCTGACATTGTTTATTTGAGTAAATAATTAGCTGTAGTGAGATGGCCTAGAATATTTTTTTTTGATAAACAAGTTCACTGAACCTCATTTGTGCTTTTCATCTGTTTTGAAAGTCAATCTTTCTCACGGATAAATTTTTGTCAACATTTGAATGAACGCTGTTTTGACTCACGCGCTGTTCTGCGGACATGTTCAACTGTCTGGTCACAAAGCTGGCTGCCGTTCAGACCAAGCCGTTGATGGCGAAGAAACCCGAGCCACTGGGTCTCGGGAAGCTGAGGAAACCTGGGTCTCCTTTGAAGCCGGGTCCGGCCGTGTTCAAGACATCTGCACTGCTGTCATCCATCAAGCCAGTGAGGAGCAAAGCGATCCCGTCGTCCCCCGCGGGCTTCACTACCAAGCAGCTCAAGACCAGCGTGCCTGTGCTTTCGAAAGTACCCGTGAGCAGGGTTCTCCTGGGTAAGCGACCCGCGGCTGGAACCGTCAAGCGGTTGCTGAAACCGAGTGGGAAGAAAACTGCTGCTCCTGAGCACAATAATGGTGAGATTCTGGTCCAAGGCATTATTTTCAGGGCGAAAGTAGGAAGACTAAAGGTTTGCCAACTGGTCTGGTGGTACAGTAATGTACTGTACTGTACTGTTTTCTGGAAATTTTATCGGAGTGTCCATATCTTGGGAATTTGTTAATATTGTTTGTTGATGTCATGGGAGATGTCCATAAGTCGAATTTTCTGCATGTGGGATATTGTCCATATGTTGGAGCTTATCCATATTCGTGTTTCCCTGTTGTTGTACAAAGAAACCCTGAGATGTGGACGTAATTGGTGCATCAAGAGTGTCCCTAAGTCAAAATGTCCCTAAGTGGAGTCTCATTTTCCCTTGGACTTACATTATATAATTTTTAATTGGTGTTTTATGTACAAAATACTCACCATAATTCCATGAAAATAGAAATTGTCTCCCAATTTAAACTGATTCCAATCAATATATTTCAACACAATATGGACATTTGAGGAATTGAATATTGATACCTCTAAACAATACATAGAAATGTTGGTATTCTCTGGAAAAATAATATTCCAGTGAAAAAGAGAGAAGGAAATCCCTCTTTGCTGGGGATAAAAAAAATGGAGGTAATTTTTTTTATTAGCTAAATGGAGAAATGCCCAATAAATTTTCTTACATCAATTTTAGGGTTGGAAATATCTGTTTCTTGTAATTTGGTCAGAAACTTATTTGCACTTTTATCACAAAATGTACCTATATGTGGAGTCAGTGTCATCATATTGGGCCTTTTTTGGTTATTTTTTCTTATTAAGTAAGTGTCCCTATGTTGAATTGTCTGCAGGTCGAGGTATCCGCATGTGGGGGTCTCACTGTATTTTCAAATCAATAAGTTCCTGTGAGGAACATATTGCTCACCAGTCAAGAGATTTCAAAAATTGCTCTGAATGTCTCGTCGTAAAAAAATTCTTTAAATAATTGACCGTTGAATTTCATTTTTTTATTTTTTTGAGGCGATGAATCTTCTGAAGTCAATGCGCCACAAGCAGCGAGCAAAACGTCGAGCGGCAAGCTAACGTCTGCAGCAGAGGAGCCACTACCAGCAGCAGCAGAATCATCATTAGCAGGGTGCAAAAGTGCGGAAAAAATTGCGCATCTCCAGCCGGAACCCGTCGTTTCCCGGGAAACCCCTAATGAAACACTTGCACTCGTTCCGCCGGCGTCTCAGACAAATGACGGCGCTGCAGGCGACAGTTGCACTAATGCCTCATCGGGACGAGCAGCAGACGAAATGCGGACCCAGGCTGAGCCACCTGGCGGTGACATCAATAACAACGCGGATCCCAGGCAACCCGACCCTGGCCGGGAACCCGATCCGTTTGACGCCGTCGGGCCTCAGTGTCAGGTTTGTTTGGTGAAGCTGATCGACTATATAGGCTGACGTTTTATTACGTGCAGTATCCGAGTGTCTTTGTTGTTTCTTTTGGCATTCATCTGTTTATTTATTGTGGTTGTATACCGTATTGATTTTTATTTTTTGGATTGCAGTTGGATCCGTCGGTCAGACTGGCTCACGTTGCAGAGGACCGGGTTTTGAAAGACGTTGAAATACAGACTGAGTGTGCTGCGTGTTGCAGAGCCGTTGTGCCGGAAAGGCAAAGCAGCTTTTTGCAGGAGTCTTTGGTGCAATATGTGGATCAGGTACTGTATAGTCTAAAAACTAAAACAGTGAGACACCAAGATGGGGACATAATTGGTGCATCAAGATTGTCAACAAGACAAAATGTCCCTAAGTTGAGTCTCATTTTCCCTTAGACTTACATCGTATAATTTTCAATTGGTGTTTCATTGACAAAATACTAACCATAATTTTATTAATGCATCCCAATTTAAACTAATTCAATCAATATATTTCAACAAAATATGGACATTTGGGGAATTGAATACTGATACATCAGTACAGTACAGTACAGTACATAGAAATTTTGGCATTCTCCGTAAAAAAAAAAAAATAGCATTCAAGTGAAAAAGAGAGAAGGAAGTCCCTCTATGCTGGAGGTAAATTTTTTAAATTAGCTAAATAGATGGTAAATTGGTCAGAGAAATGCCCAAGAACTTTTCTTACATCAATTTTAGGGTTGGAAATAACTGTTTCTTGTAATATGGACTGAAATTTATTTGCAATTTTATCACACAATGTCACTAAGTTGAGTCAGTGCTCTCATGCTGGGCCTTTTTTATTAATTTTTTATGAGAAAATGAGTGTCCCTATGTTGAATTGTCCGCATGTTAAGATGTCTACATGTAGGGGTCTCATTGTATTGTACTTCCCCATTTTGTAAAAGATGCATGATAAGATAGGTATGCACAAGGATTGTCCCAGTTGGACGCAACCTCCAGATTTTTTTAAGTAGCTTTTAATACGGGAAAAAATTTCATGGCAGAGCCCAGGAGGTTCTAGGAGATTTGTGGCTGTAACTTGAAAGTTTTCATCTAGCATCTTGCAGTAAATCGAAAGAGTTTCGTACTATTTCAGAAAAGATCCCAGAACCTGAAAACATCATGGGCTATGTCATTATTTGTTACTATCAGTGATCACACCTACTCAGAACTATGTCTTTTTTTTGCATGAAATGCTGTGGTACTGTATTAATTATGTACTGTAGTTGAAAATCGGATTTGGGAGCATACACATAAAGCTGTCCGTCGAATCCATTAGAAAATAACCTTTATGGAGTATTTTGCTGTACTGTATTTTGCTGTACTGTATCTGCGTGACCTGCGCCCACGGATTTTAATTTTTCAGATCATTCAAGCTGATTTCAATGCCCTCGGTCAAGATTCCCTGGATACATCCATCAGTCAATCTGTTCGCCATTCATCCATACGGGATAATCACCAGGAAGATTCTTCTTCTTCGCCGAGACGTGCTGCGGATGCTCCAGTAAGTCACAGCTTTCTTCGATACGAGTAATCGATTTATTCTTAGAAATATTAAAAAAAATAATGATTTTTAACTGGAACCCAGCAGGTGATTCAGGAAGAGTCCATGAATGCCAATTTAAACGTCTCAAACACGGCATCGTCTCACGACGGAGCGACTGCAGTTAGTTCCCAGGATATTCACAATCCCGACGAACCTTCTGCGGATTCCGAGGATTATGCCGGAGCATCGCATGATCACATGGCATTTGCTGCTCCTGGAGGAAGGCCTCAGGGATCCGGCGAATCTGATGAAGGGATCGAAGAACTAGGTTCGCGTTTCTGTTCTCTTCTATATATACATATAGGCAAAACATGGAGAAGCAAAATTCAACGGAGTGAATCTAAGATTTATTGTGAGCATCTGCTGCATGCTGATGTTCTCCGTATCATTTAGAAGACAGAAAGGATTCTGGCCAAAGTTCTTGTCACTCATCTTGTGTTTTTGTCGTATCCATTCGTGTGGTCCGCTGAAGATTTATCAAAGAATTAGACGCATAATAATAAAGCACGTTTTAATGACGTACAGTATATGAAGTTTCGGGAAAAAATAATGCGTCATCTGGTTTGTGGTGCATCATGTACTGTACAAGGAGATTATTATATTCTTATACTCCGTGAAACGGGTTTACGAAAGAATACGAATGTGAGACTAAGTTCCTCAAAGATCTCCCGAATGCATGGTTGAATAATCAAAGGAAGAATTGCTCTATGTGTTCAGAAACTTTTTCAATCTTCAAGAGACATTTTATTGTACCATTTATTTGCGCGATACGGGTCTAGATATAAATTATCCTATGGTGTACTCTCTTCCGTGTTTTGCCAAGATTTCTCGCAGGATCGATAAATGACACATATTTGTGGTAATTTTTCACATGATTTCGGAAAGCACTAGAAAAAATCCAATTAAATTTGCCAACAGCTTGATTTCGCGATTTGTTGGCAGTGAGCCAGTGACTCGCAGGACTTTTGAGAACTCCTTACAATGCTTATATTGTATGTATATATAGTACATATACGCGTTACGTTTCGGTCCTTATGGAAGGAGTTCACATGCATGGATTTTTGATCTTCACAGGTCCGAGCTCTACGTCCATATCGACCCTCTTGAAGCTTTTCATCAAATGCCCGGCTCAGATTCAAGGGAATTCGTCGAATCAAAACAACACCAGCGAATCCTGTCCTTGTTCCAATCGTGACCAAAGAAAAGACGTTTCCGCGTTTGACCAGCTCGTCGGAAACCTTCCAGACGTTTCCCCTGACCAAATCCCCATGACTCTCATCTCCAGCAACAGCCCGAACACAATCCCATTCTACATGCTCCTGACTGAGCTCAAAACCAAACTGGCTTCCATATGCCTTCAACGAGACATCGAAAGAAGCTTCTACGAAGAGAAGATCGAAGAGATGCAACAAGAACATGCTCAGATTCTCTGCAATGTGGAGGAACAGAACGCTGGCCATTTGGAGCAGGCTTTGATACAGCTTCTCAACGCGAGACGTAACAAACGGCGTCTCAAGTGCGACATTGCAAAAAAGCTGCGGAATTTGGCCAAGGAAGTTCGTTCCGCCGCGAAAACTGTGTCGAGTGAAGAGGCCACTAAGGAAGCCAAGCTCTCAGTCATTCGCCAAGTTCTCCGGATCATCAAGATGGATCGGAATCCGGAAGAAAACTTTGAGGAAGAGGAAATACTCAAGCAGTTCTACATTGACCAGACCGCGTGTGGGATCAGTGAGATTGTTCACCGACCGGATCTCATGAATGCCCTGGCGGAGACCATTCGGCAAGATGCAGTTGACGCTGCGACGCTTCGCAACGTTTGCGAGGAACTTGATGAGCAAGTTGACAGTGCTGTCATCACTGATGGAACTGATGCAAAGATAGTGTCAAAAAAGAACTTTTCCACTTGCCTTTTGTCGATTCTCGGCGTGAAGAACCCGCGGAATGTGGAAGCTTCCTTGAAGAAGTCTTGCGGGAGCACTTCAACCCTCCCGGACGAGTTCGACGCGTCCACAAATTCATTTGAAACCCCACCGGGTGGCACTATCAATGGAGAACCCACGCAAGTACCTGCTAGACACGTGGATGCTTTAGCGAACGCGCAAACTGATGGTGGGAAGCTGAGAGAAGTACTGCGGAGGCGCACTGAGGAAAGAGCAGCACTGAACAGAGAAATCCAGTCGTTGCGAGACTCAAAGAAGGCCGCCTTAGCAAAGATAGACAAGCTGATTGCAGAAAAGATGGACTTAGAAGCGTGCTTATCTCGGGAAAGGACTGCGAATTGCAGGGACATTAGTCAACCAGTTAGGTTTGACGACAAGGACATGATTGACGATGCAGGAGCTGGGGATTCTGCATGGCCTTGACCAAAGTCTTCACGAGTGGTGCTTAGTGTTAGCGTGATTTAGTCTTTACGCAAATTCAGCGTTTTGTATATTAATTTTTTTTAATCTGTTACATTGTTGCGATCATGTTTTTCTGTGTCACATTGAAGCTTGCATATTTGAGATTATCTGAGGCTACATTTGTATGTTCTTTTTTACAGTAGTTATTAATTTGAGAAACTTCCGGTTATTTTCAGTATGAACTGAAGGGAAAGACACCTTCCTAAGATAAAAGTTACTTGCTTCCTTTGATTTCTCTCTGACATATGAATGATATGATTGCCAGACAAAATAATGTACACCTTAGTCAAACAATCGTAACACATTAATATTGAACTTCAGTTATACTGTAAAAACTCAACATATTAATGAAGTACCATATTCACTGGAGTACCACATACGCACCCTGCAGTGAGATCCACACCGTATTTTTTGTTTGTTTAACATCTGTCCAAAACCCCATCCTTCTGGATAAAAAAGGCCCTGCAGTGCAAGTTTTTGTGTGCTGATAATCAGAAATTGTGGAATCTTAGTGTAAGTCAATTTTTAAAATTGATGTGTCAGTTCACCGTTCCGCAGCGCACACCAACATCAGGCAAGTCTAGCGACCCTCAGTAGTATTGATTCTACTCCGGTTAACCCGACCAATAGATGTCGTTGCTACGGTCTAAGAAGGGTAGGATCACTGAAAATCGGTTGCGAACAGCAACTACTGCTAAGTGTCATATCTGTAGCATATGTATAGGGGAAGTGTGCAAGAAAGCAATGGAAAGACTGCTGGTCGGATTCTCTGGAAGTTTTTTAGCAAATATAATTTCATTCTCACACTAGGTGTAATTCTTTGTCATCACCTTATGCATGGAGCTAGCACGTTTGTACCCGCAACATTACCATCAGCATACATAACTCAGAGTTTTCAAAATACCAATTTTTGTTCTTGAGTGGATCAGTGCTGATTCTCAATGTGTGACTACTTAAAACATTCCTTTAAATTTCATTTACAATTTTTTTGTGAAAATACTGTACAAGCAAATTATTTATGACTGACTTGTTGGCCAATTGCCAGTCAATTCCTGCAAAAACTCAGCTCAGCTAAAAGTATTTCTTTCAGTGAAAGGGGTTCTGAGATTAATCAAGAATTTTAAAGGAAAATTGTATATGTAAAGGGCATTGAGTGATGCGAGAAAGATGAAGGGATCAGCCCGGAAACTTATTTCAGGTATAATTAAGCTGTCATAAAATGCATTGAATTATTCGAGATTTCTAATTTGAACCATAACTTTAACTTTGAGAGGCACACTTAAATGAGGATGATCTTGCATGGACAATACAAGTCTTTATTTGTGCATTGCCTTTATTTCTTTGTTTTCTTTTGTATTCATGTTTCTTATTGAGTGAACACTTGAGTAAATCTACTTCCTGTTAAATGAAGTGCTGCCAGCCATATACATAGAGACCCCAAGATGAGGATGTAATTGGTGCATCAAGAGTGTCCCTAAGCCAAGTCTCATTTTCCCTTAGACTTACATTAAATGATTTTTAATTGGTGTTTTATGTACAAAATACCACAATTCCATGAAAATAAAAATTGTCTCCCAATTGAAACTGATTCCAATCAATGCATTTCAATACTATATGGGCATTTTGGGAATTAAATACTGATACCTCTGGATACAATGCATCAAAATGTTGGCATTCTCTGTAAAAATAATATTCAAGTGAAAAAGAGAGAAGGAAGCCCCTCTCTGCTGGAGGTAATTTTTTAATTAGCTGAATGGATGGTGAATTGGTGTGAGAAATGCCCAAGAACTTTTCTTTTGCCAATTTAGGCTTGGAAATATCTGTTTCTTGTCATTTGGCCTGGAATGTATTTGCAATTTTATAAAAAAGGTCCCTATGTTGAGTCAGTGTCCTCATGTTGGGCCTTTCTTATTAATTATTATGATAAAATAAGTGTCCCCATGTTGAATTGTCTGCAGGTCAAGGTGTCTGCATGTGGGGGTCTCACTGTATGTATATATGTATATACTAGCTGCATTGCACTTGGAATTTGGACAAACTTTATGCATCAATAATATAAATGAAACGAGCTCATCCAGCAGTATTGCCTACTGTTCGCATGTGATATGGCATGTGCTGAGAGGTCAAACTTATTGTCTAGGTGTGATACATCTTATCAGATTGATTAATTTCTTGCTGTCCCATCCACATACCTGCCTGATCAAATAAAGATTGTATTTATAGAGGGAATCTATTTCCTGGGCATACCAAAAGTAGGGTAGCAAATTCTTCTTCGTTTTGTCAACAGTGAAAAATCAAATGAGATCCACTGAATTTAATTTTGTCGTCTCAATTATGATGCTGTGAAAAAAATGTTTTGTAACTTCTCTTATTCATATTTTGGACATTTTCTTATTACAGTACAGTACTGCGGTATATGTTTTGGATATTATCCTCATAATAGATAATAATAGATTATCCTCAAAATATATAATGATATATTATCCTCATAATATATATTCAACATGTTATGTAAGCTTTGTATTATTTAGGAAAAAAAACTTCATGATGAGTTGTTTGTCAAATCCCTTCTATCTTCCTTTCACTTATGCATTTCTGAAAGAGAAAACGCTAATCATGCCTCTGTACAATTCATCAATTCTCCAGCAGCACGCTTCACATGTGCGCTGGTTGGTTAGAACAGCATACTCTGCGTGACATGTAGGATAAAGGACTCATGACTTGCGGTTGTCAGAGAGCGACACCTATGAAACGTATGATGACGTGCGATGTGCAGTGTTCTAGCATTTTCCACGCATAGGAGTACGCCGACTTCGAGTGCTGGACGGCCCCGCTGGTCACCGTTTCCTATATACAATAGTTGCCTCTTGTTGGAGTGCACTGCAGAACTGGCTTTGTTTCTTAAAATATATTGTAAAGATTTTGTCAATGCAGAGAACACTTACTGAATGGGAATGCAGTACAATACAGTAATGCACTTACTGTACAGTATTCAAATAGCGGAAAGCAAACTTGCCCTACTACCTGAGCAAAGCTCCTCTTACTTTTGACCACGATGGCGACGTCCTGTGAGAAAACTCACGCAGTGTTATTGCAGAAGTCGGTGTGCCGTTCACATCGGCTTCACACGTGTGTGTCTGTCCTGGTGATTGAAAGCGAGTTGCGTGATGGTTTCCCTGCGCATAGGTTCGAATCTTGTGTCGAAGAGCCGTGCGGCGAAAGAATATGCGTTGCATGAGCAATTTAGTTGTGTCGAGTAGATATTTTGGAGAGTTTCTCGAGAAGCAAGCGTGTATAGGATGAGGTATCAGTGTCATAATTCAATGTAATGCTACATCCGGGCGGCATATATCCACTGTTCCTGGATGCTCTATCATCCTACAGTTTACACGTGTCTTTTTGATTCAAGAACTGTTTTGTCTGTCTTTTTATCCCGGTATTGATTGAGCCGCATATCAAGTAGATAGCAAAAGCATTGGTCCGCAGATGTGAGAGCGTTTTGGGATAGCTCCGAAGGTGCGTATATGTTGCGTATAAACTTGATTGAGTGTGCGCGCGTTCTGTTGTCTGTGTTGGAATATGTTCCTCGCGAAATGTATAAGTTTCATTGGGTTATCAGAGTCGCGTGCTGATCCTCCATGGTCCCATTTAAATGAAGTAAGTTTCACCGTGACGCGAGAAATACCCATACCGTCAGTAAGTGATGTCTTACCAATGTAGGGGTTATCCCCACCTCGGAAGTTATTACAGTATTGTAAAATAACCGGCTGCAGTTCAGTACGTATTTTCCTTGAGAAACTCCTATCGCGCTTTTAAAAATGGGCTGTAACGATACTGGGGTTTAATACGATTTTTTGGGCTGGGCTGGCTCAAGTCCCTGAACTGGAAGAGTTCCATGGTGATTTGGTTGAATTTCTGCTGTTGATTTGAATTTATGCCTCATTCTTCATTGCGACTTGGAATCCGGTGTATAGATCTGTGATGTGAAGCGGGGTATTCTTGCAAAGTTGTCCTGTCATCATTTGATTCTGTGAATGTTAATAAAATTACTGTGCACATGTTTTATTCTTGATACACACTGGTGCTTAATCTTTATGCTTTCACTGGATTGATTTTTAGTGTTTGATACTCTCGCTTGACCTGCTTTTCAGGGCGTTCTAGATCTGAAAGAATCATTTGATTGCGGGGAAATTTTCCTTGAAAATGTCTGTGCCGTGGCGTGAGTCGATCAGGTTACAACTTTCAGCTCGAAACAAGGCCCAGACTGAGCCATTCGCGGCCTTGATAGTCTATCGTGAGTATATGTTTTGAAGCTCACTAGAATTTAGCTTGATGAACTCTGTTGTCAGATAATCGGATCTTCGAGAGCTTCGACACCTTGAAAGTTGAGAATGTTAGTTTGAATGTTGCAAATGAGAAGTTGCGGCAAGAGAACATGCAGATCCAGGTTTCTGGTGGCGATAGAAGTGGTGCAAGTTCCAGCGATCGCTCCCAGGTACACCTTTTTTTAAATTTAGAATATCGTGTCATGTGAATGGGTATTGTAAAGGAGCGTTTTCAATTCAGGCCTTGGAAAGAAAACTCTTCAAGTTGCAAGAAGAAGTCACAGATCTGCTCAAAACGCGTGGAGATAATGCTCAGCAAGTGATCAATCTCACTGCGAAGCTTCAGGATCGCGACGCGGAAATTCGTCGGAAAGATGCTCTGATTGAATCTCACGCTGCCGAAATCTCACGCCTCAAAACGGAGCTGGAAAGCACGCGTGCTACGTTGGATGCCCTTGAGCTGGCAAATGCCACATTGCAAGACGAGTACAACTCCTTGCACATGGCATTTTCACGTACGGAAATCAACCTGAGGAAACTCCAAGACGAAAATGCTGAGCTTGTCACTCGTTGGATGAAATCCAAAGCTCTCGACGCGGATCGTTTGAATGCCGAAAACGAGCAAGTGCGTTTTTG